AGATGGACAAGGTGTGGCCACTGTTTGTTTCGTTGCTTGATAGCAAGTGCTTGCTAGCTTTCGGAAACTACGCAGCAACTACAATAGATATCCAGTGATGGTATTATATTTTTATTTTGAAATTTTAATGAATCCATATTGTATTCTAAATGAATTTTCTTTAATTTAAATTTCATATATTTTGAATTGTATTTCTACTTGAATTTTTTTCTAACTAATTAATATGAAAATTTTTAGTATATGATAGTAAACATGTTTTAGCTTGATTTGAAAAGTGCTTCTTGTGTTTGTATACATACTGTAGATCCTCCCAAAACTCAGCTTTTGGGTGTGTTTAGTTTACGCTGAAATTGGAAGTTTGCTTTAAATTGGAACGATGTGACGGAAAAGTTGGAAGTTTCTGTGTGTAGAAAAGTGTTGATGTGATGAAAAAGTTAAAAGTTTTAAAAAAATTTTGGAACTAAACACGGCGTTTGTCGAGTACAGATTCTGATCCGAAAGCTTCAGTTTAATTTCACAAGAGTTTTCTTCAAGGTGTCGTTTAACGTGTGTATCCATTGTATAGATCCACGAGCCACACAGTCAATATATACATCGCAAAGTGTGAATGCGCGTCCAGCTATTGACAAACTTAATTAATTCTTCCTCGTCGTGGCAATGCTCTTTCTCAGCCATGGCATCCGTTTCGATCGTCGCCCTTCAAAACAAGCCAATGTTACAAGAGTAATGTCCGTATGTACACGGCCAGGTTACATCAGTAAGAATATAATGACCGGACTAATTCGGCTAAGCTTTTACTCGCGTTGATGTTACAGAGTCTTTATATTTTCAGCCATACAAATTCACCCAGCATTTAATCCTCAGCTGTAATGAATGTGTAGACGATTTACTTCTGTCACAAGTTCAGTTATTCTCTTAATTATGTATACAAAACGTTCGGAATTTTAGTCCACAATATATAAAATATAATTATATATTTAATTCTATTAAAAAAATTTAATTAAGGCCAAATTATTTATCATGTTTTAGTGTGCTCAAACAAAATATTTTTTAAAAAAACTAGGAAGATAGCCCACGCATTCGCGCGGCATGCATATTAGTTTGTTTTGAAAATAGTTCTAAAAAATAAATTGAAATTAAAGTAAGGCATTTTCTATTTTTAATTGAGTGTTCATTGTATCTTTTTTCTGAAGAAATATCGACAAACTATAATAAATGTATTTTCCCACCCTGCTAACCCTTTCTTTAATTGCTTCGTATATATGCAATTCGTTATGCATGTGAATCAACATAGAAAAGTTCTTTGAAAAATGTTTAATGTATTTTGAATTTAGTGATCGAGTCTAATTTCGAGTCTAAATTGTCTTTTCAGGGATTTTAAATTGTACTTAATCTCGTATCGTGTTGTGTTTGGACTTTTCTTTTGATACTTATTTTATTATTCCCAATTTTATCTATTTATAACTCATACTTTCATACGAACTCTTGATATTTTATATTCTACATGGAATCATGTTGTTTTTTTGTACTTTTAATGTTTTTTTTGGTTTAATGTATATTTTAATCAAATTGCTTGTTTTATTTTTTTTATGAATTCACTTATGAACTCGTTATAGTTGATCCGCTTGCTACCATCGGTCTCATGGATCATCTCGTCGACCTCCTCATTAGTGAGCCTCTCCTGATACATTGGACATGACATGGCGGGGCTTGGCGTTAGAGATGAAGTAATTTTCTACTCCTTGCTGAAGAAGCGGAACATCTCCCTCTGCCCCTCCTATCAGTATTTGTCCTTTAGCACGCTATTAGGGTTAGGAACTTGTGGAAGTCAATGCTACTGCTGCCGTCGGTGTCCATCGGGTTCAGAGTATGTATTATGGTTCCAAGCTCCTTGGTGGTTATTGAACCTGGACTTTAGACGTACATATTTGAATTCATCCATCATTTTCAAAGTGCTATTTTACTCAAATATTTGTAGTTAGATCGACCAAATTATCTAACTTTTATATAGTAAATATGGGCAATATAGATCTTGGATTATGTATTTAATTATACAATAACACAAGAAAGCAAATAGATTGAGAAAAGTATATGTAACTTGAGAGTCATGATCATTTAGCTATTGTTTTTTTTATATATTTTGTGTTAGCTAGAAAATAGGAAAGTTAGCTAGAAAATAGAGAGGAGAGTGGGATCCTAGAGGAGAGTAGGAGGATGGAGGAGTACTTACATGCGTGATCACATACGGTGGGGGTGAAGGTGGGTTTACCGGATTTATTTTTAAGATTAAAATTATTGGGTCCACCTATTTAAAGAAAATCAATGTTTAGAATTTTTTTTCTTTTTAATTAGAATTTTCATGATTTATTTTTAAATTTATTAAAGCGCCACATGACATCCTAGAAGCGTCTGTAGAACGTCATGTCAGAGGCGTAGCTAGCAAGGTGGCACTGTAGGCCATGGACCACCTAAAAGATTGATCAAGATTAAAACTATAGTATATGTGCTAGTTAATATAATAAAAATTATATAGTGGACCACCCTTTTAATTGACCTATTACATATAGATGGACCGCCTTTACTCTAAATCCTATCTAAGCCACTGTGTCACGTGAATGTTTGAGAACGTTTGTTGGGAGTTTAATATACTTTTAGTGTATAATATAATATAATGTTCCCGCAAAATTATATTTTTATGATTTAAAATATATTCAAAACTGAGTTTTTAATTGTATAAATTAAGACTTATTAGAGTGTAAGAGTAGGGAGGCACATACGTAGGAAGAGGTAGGGCACGCTCTCTTAAAAACCACCTGATAACCCAAATGCCTAAAATTAATTAATTTATTTTCCAAAAGCTTCAAGAAATTTACTTATATTGTTACAACAGTGGGTAGAACTGCTCCATATATCGACGGAGGATTTTCTTGATCTGATAGTTTGCTTACAAAATAAATTAAAACTATAGTAATTATTTTGAACACATCGAACTGTTGATTTCTTGATAAAAAAAATGATTGCTTACAAATAGAAAAGAGAATAGGAGGGGAGGGGCAGCAAAAGAGAGGAGAGGAAGTGTGCGTACAGTGCGTCGCATGCACGGAAAGAGGCGAGGTGTGCTTGACCGTGAGTCTCAATAGATCTAATCTAACGATGGAAAGAGGTGGATTTGGTTGTTTTTTTCTTGAGATAAATCTAATGGTGTAAAATAATGGGTCCACCAATTTAAATGAAAATCAATGGTCGGATGTTTTGTTTTTTTCGTAGAATTTCTAGGATTTTCTCTATTTTATTAGAACGCCACGTGGCGGCTTGAGAGCGTTTGTAGGAAGTTTCATGGACTTTTAGTATATAATAGATAGATAGATAGATAGATAGATATTGATAGACAGTTTTTGGCCCTGTTTAGTTCCCACGTAAAAACTTTTCACGCTGTCACATCGAATGTTTGGTCACATATATAGAGTATTAAATGTAGACAAAAAAACCAATTGCACAGATTGTGTGTAAATTGTGAGACGAATCTTTTAAGCCTAATTGTGCCATGATTTGACAATGTGGTGCTACAGTAAACATTTGCTAATGACGGATTAATTAGGTTTAATAAAATCGTCTCACAGTTTACATGCGGAATATGTAATTTGTTTTGTTATTTGACTATATTTAATACTTCAAATGTGTGTCTGTATATTCAATGTGGCACGTAAAAACTTTTCACCCCTGAAATTAAAAATGTCCTTAGTTGTTTAACCAAACCTTGTTTTGGAAACGTAAGAATTGTGGAACGGAGATAGTAACAATTTGGCTATGTTATATATATAGACAACAATTATAGACTGAGTTATTCATGTTTCTTACTCCATCCGTCCCAAAATATAATCATTTTTAGCTTTAAATCTGGATAACTGTGTGTCCAGATTCATAGCTAAAAGTTACTATATTTTGGAACGGAGGTAGTAGATGGATTATAAACCAACAGTTGTATGTACAATACAATGGGAGAGAATATAAACACTTGTTTTGTTTTCAATACTCCTTCGAAGTTCTGTATAGGATGAAAATACGAGATTCTTGCTACATTCCAAAATTTAACAATTTAGTTCTCACACTCATAATTTATCTTAAAACTAGAAAAAATGCCCGTACGTTCCAACAGGTGAATGCTATTTTAATCCTATTATTGTTATACGGTTTAGATAGGATAAAATTCACTGTGGAAATTCACTTGGATATTTCTTTTTAGAAAATAATGAGCTGCATTTAAGAGTTCGACTTTCATTTGAACTTAGCATATGAGTTTTTTTTAAAGAGATCTCTTATATGATTCCTTTTGTAATTTTAAAAGCAAACGAGCTTAAAATCCAACTCAAACACATGTCTGTATTGCCAAAAACGAACGAACTTGAAAACCGACTCAAACACGAATGATTTACCAAAATACCGGCAAAAACATCTTCAATTTTTATAATAGCAGAGATAGAGATATAACAACTACTACACTAACATTATCTTCCCAACTAATCAAAATCCTTATAACCATTCAATTTACCCATCAATTTCCACTTCTCAACTAACCACAACCTCGCTTCATTTAATTCTAATTATTTTCTTAATAACCATGTCCAATATACGAATTTTTTTAGAAATAATATTATTTTAACGGAAAATTGAAAAATTGGTAGGCATCCAATATCTTGGGATGGAGTTGATAGGTGTTAGAGAGCAAGTTTAATAGTATAGCCAACTATTAGCTCCAAACCATCTACAGTCGATTTAATAGCCAATTCATATCATATGTACATATACTACACTATTAATACTACAGAAATCTGTAGCTCGTTGCTATTCTAATCTCACCTCTTTAATCTTCTTAATATGTTTAATATGTGTTTATAGCTGGCTTATAGTGTGGCTAGTCACCCATCAACAACCAACGTACAGTAGCAGTATATAAAGAGATGCATGGCAAGTGCAAATATCGCACATATATTCTAGCCAGTGGAAGCCGTGTAGTCGTACCTCGTACGTGCGGGGTTTAATTAATAAATTAGCAACACCTAGCTAGCTACTGGCCAGCCATGGCACAAGGAGTGATGCTGTGGTATGATGATCTCCTAGCAGTTTTAGTACTTTCCGTGCTGGTGGGTACGTCGACGGCGGCGAACTGCGGTAGGAAGTGCGGCGACGTGCGCATCCCCTTCCCTTTCGGCATCGGCGTCGACTGCGCCTGGCCGGGCTTCGACCTCTCATGCAACCATAGCTTTACCCCTCCCAGGCCGTACACGGGCAACGTAGAGATCAAGGACATCTCGCTGGAGAAGGGGGAGATGCGCGTGTACACTCCCGTCGTGTCCGACTGCTTCACTTCGGACAATACCACCGAGTACGAAGGAAACGCCTCCTCGTGGGCCTACCTCGGTACGCCGTTCCTGTTTGCGCGGAGCAGGAACGAGTTCACGGCCATCGGCTGTGGTACGATTGCGTTTCTATTGGGCAGGGACGATGCGAGCTACTTGACCGGCTGCATCACGACGTGCGCGAGCTTGGATGAGGCCGCCCACGACGGTGAGCCCTGCACGGGGCTGGGTTGCTGCCACGTGCCTTCCATCCCGCCCAACCTTGGCATCTTAAATATTTCCTTGGGCGAAAGCATCGTTAACCCAGCTTGGAAAGACAGCCCCTGTAGCTACGCCTTCGTGGCCGAGCAAGGCTGGTACGTATACCAATATATATATATATATATATATACACCATACTTATGTTGTCCAATTAAATTCTTGATTGTTTTCATCCACTGAGTTTTACTGATGCATATGCATATATATGATCGACATGATTTAGGTACAATTTCAGCCGGCAAGATTTTAGTCGTTCCGGCAGCAAGAGCTTCGTCAACAGTACTGGAGAAAGACGTGTCTCAACAGTGCTTGACTGGGCCATCAGAAGAAATGGATCGTGCTCATCAGCAACAGGGGCTCCTGCTTGTGTCAGCGCCCACAGCTACTGCGTAAACGCTACCAACGGGGATGGCTACCTATGCAACTGCTCCACGGGATACGCCGGCAATCCCTATGTCACCGGCGGATGCATAAGTTTGTTCTTACACTTAATTATATTTTATATTATAAATCGTTTTGCTTTTTCTCATAGTTAAACTTTCTTCAAGTGTAAGTAAATTTATAGAAAATTTTAACATCTATGTCACTAAATTAGTTTCACTAAATATAACATCGAATATATTATGATAATATGTTTGTTTTGTGTTCGTAATGTTGTCATATTTTTCTATAAACTTAATTAAATTTAGAAAAATTTGACAACGAAAAAAAGTTAAAACGACTTATCGTTTGAAATGAAGGGAGTAGTTGTTAATCTGCACTTTGCTCGTAGTGTTACATGTATTCGATGAATAATTGATAATTAATGATTTGAAAAAAAATTCATAGGGCATCCTTATTTTTATTTTTATGAAAATCAAACTCGGTAACTTTCAACTAATAGTTATACTAACAATATCTATTATAAGTATTATGCATGTTAAATCACTAGATTTAAATTTTAAAATACTTTTATGTGATATTAAATTTATAGTTGTTGATAACATAATATTAAATAAACTAATGTACAAAGTATATCATTAAAAACTGTGTAAAAAATTTATAGACCTTATAATTTGGACCATAGGCAGTATAAATCTTAATTCACCTTGGAATATAAGATTTTCACGATTTAATCATTCTGAAATTTGGAATTAATTAAATATCATATCAGTTTTTTATGGCATGCATATAGCTAGCTAGCTATTACCTCTGTCCTATAATAATTACATTTCTAGTTGAATTTGTTCCAAAATAATTATCACAATATAGTACTAATGGTCCCACTTTTCATTCAAATTTCTTACCATTTTACCCTCAATTACCATTCCACTCTTACCTATACACCATTTGATAAGGGACATCGTAGTAGTCTTTCTTCTCAAACTTTAATATATGCTAAACAATCTATAATTACAATTCATATGGGACGGCTGTACGTAGTAGTACTTCTTGTTATTGATTTGGCATCATCATTTACAAGCTTGCCAGTTTTCTAATTGATATACATATTATACGCAACCATTGTGTGCAGATATTAATGAGTGCGAGCTTAGGAGAGAAGAGCCTACCAAGTATCCCTGTTACGGTGGTAGCAGATGCTATGACACAGAGGGTGGTTACAAGTGCAAGTGCCGATTTCCACATAGAGGGGATGGTAAAATCGACAAGGGATGCAAACCCATACTTCCAGCGACCGTAGTCGCAACAATAGGTCAGCATTTTTTTTTCTTTATTTCCACTTCTTAAAGTGCTGTGGATCCTCGTTTCTTCCGTGCTTTCAATTCTATGCATTCATATATAACATGCCACGCACTAATTAAGTCCTAAGTATTATTCCCCCGATTAATATCCTCAAACAGAAAAGAAGATGATGTTTGACTATTTTGTGATATTTGAGGTGAAATTTTGAAATGACATAGTTTTGGGTAGCAATTCCTTTTATATAATATATACAACAGGGACAAATATATTGAACTACCATAAAAAGTATTCTACACATATTCATTTAATAAATAAATAAAATAAATATTTTTTTGTAAAAATAAACTTTTCCACAAATAATACTTGTACAATAAAGTCATGCATGAATATAAATATGTAACAGTCCAGCTTATACAATAAACTTACTATACACACTTCTAAGAGCGAATATAATAAGACGATGTAAGTGGGCTTTATAAGTTGCCTTATCACATTTGTACTTATGTCGAGTAGAGAGGAGAGAAGAGAGAAGAAAAACAGGTTACAAATTTATAGCCAGCTACAACACAAGTTCCAATAAACTATGTGAAAGAGAGATGGGCTAAATATTAACGATGTAGTATGTATATCTACAGCTAACTATTGTATGACCGAGCTATTTCACAACCACAGAAAACCCCATAGGTGTTGGTTTCCCAGTAGGCATCTATTGGTTGACACCTTTACCCCAATCGTATAGGTGCCGATTTCAGAACCGACACCTATACTATTAAAATAATAAAAAAGCCACGCTGACCTCCACACCGCGACCTCGCTAGGCCGGCCTCCGCGCCGGTGCCCGCCACCCAACACTGCGCTGGAAGATGGGGGAGGTCCCTCGGGAGAGAGGGGGCCGACGAGATCCGACGACCGTGCCGCCACCTCGTCGCGCCGGCCACCAACCCACGCTGTGCTAGAGGAGAAGGGAAGGAGGGAGGTCCCGTGGGAGAGAGAGGGCCGGCGAGATCCAAGCCTCCTCCACCACCACCGCCATAGCCTCCACCTCGTCGCGCTGGCCTCCGTGGTGGCCGCCACCTCACCTGCGCTGGCCGGCCTTCTCCACCGCCGTGCTGTTACCTTGCCCACGCCGGACGGCCTTCTCCACCGCTGTGCCGTCCCTGGAGGACGAGAGAAGGGGGGAGGGCCCCTGGGCTGGGAGAGGGCCGCCGCCGCGTTCTCCGTCAGCCGTCACCGCTCCTCCGTCAGCTGTCGCCGATCCACTAGAGAAAGGAAGGCAAAGGGAGAGGAGGGAAGAGAGAGAGAGATATATATAAGGAGCGATGTGGGATGTGGTATAAGATAAGGGGGCGCTAGCTGTGGGTGGTCAAAAAGATAAGGATGAGGTTTTTTTAATAGGTGTCGGTTCTGTAAAAAAACTAACACCTATACTATATGTGACGGTTTTTTCTCTAGAACCGACACCTAAAATATAAGTATAGATGTCAGTTCTATTAAAAAAACTCGGCACCTATAGTATAGGTGTCGGTTTTTTAATAGACCTGATACCTATAGTGCTTAAAGGTGTCGGTTCTATATTTTTTCATCGTGCGGAGGTGGGAAAAGGCTCATAGGTGCTGGTTTTAAATGAACCAGCACCTATAAGACCGGTCCTTATGAGGGTTTTTTAGTAGTGTTTGGTCGGTTATAGATGATTTGATAATTTTTTAAGCTAGCAGTTGATTATATTATTGTACTTGCTTTGACAATAAGTCCATAAATTTCCATGTTTGTTTTATGCATAGAGGCAAAATAGATCATTTTAAGAAATTAAACCATCAACTAATGGAATATTGGGGATGTAAGGGACAAACCAAAAATCAGAGACTTATTTTTTGAGGTGAAGAGGGGTTGTGGGGGTGGGGTGGGGTGGGGGGAGGCAAACCGTATAAAGAAAATATAATTCAGATGTAATGTAGTACCTTCTTGACCCGAAAAGTTGAAAACAACATTTGAGCGGGCTTAATTGATTGTCGAGGTTTCACAAGTTTAATAAAGTAATGAATATAAATATAAAATACTCTGGCTTATACAACAAACTTATACACTTTTGAGAGCAATTATAATAATACGATGTAATCGGGCTTTATGAGTTATCGTATCGCATTTGTGCTTATGTGGAGTAGAGGGGAGAGGAGAGGAGAGAGAAGAAAAACAAGCTATAGATTTATAGCCAGCTAAATAAAGCACGAGCTCAAATAAACTATGTAAAGAGAGATGAGCCAAATATTAATGATGTAGTGTGTGTGTATAGATAGACACACAGCTAGCTGTTGTATGACCAGGCTATTTGGTCGGCTGTAGATGATGTAATAATTTTTGGAGCTTGACTATATTATTGTACTCGCATGCTCTCTATCAACAAGTCGTTCACAATTACATAAAATCTAATAAGTTTAGTTACGGCATTGTGAAAGTATTTTTTTTAAAACAAATGTACACATGTCGTCGTTTATATTTCAAATATTACTACCTCTGCCGAAATAATGTTTAATATTGATATGTGATCCATGCAATCACAACAATTTGATTTTGACTATAGTTATTGTTTTAAAGTACAGGTCTCATATATATTAAAAAGTATATATTAAAGTCTGTCATTACGAATGCTTTTACAATAGCACACTTGTATAAAATTTTTTAATCCATATAAACGAGAATTTTTGATTGAGTATTCAAAGTAGTACCTTGTTGACCTAGAAAAGTTTAAAATAACATTTTTTTTATTTAACAGATTAATTGATAGTCGAAGTTTCAAAAGTATAGTAGGATCATATCAAAAATGTCACATGCATGTATTTTACTTGAAGAAGTACTGATTTGGTTCATTTAATTATTTAATTTGTTACTTGCCAGCAACTGCTGTCGCCGGAGGTATTCTGGCATTCGTGGTGCTGTACATTCTCAAGGAGCATAGGAGGCGGCAGCGAAATAGATCATTTGACAAAAATGGTGGCAACATACTGAACAAGATGATGGACATCAAAATCTTCAGCGAAGAGGAGCTGAAGAAGATGACAAAAAACTACTGTGAGAAAAGAATGATTGGGAAAGGCTACTTTGGTAAGGTTTACAAGGGGATCACCCAGGACAACCAGCAGGTTGCTGTGAAGCGCTTTGTCAGAAACGGCCATGAGCTTAACAAACAGGATTTCGCGGATGAGATAACGAGCCAGGCTCGGATCCAGCATGAGAATCTGGTCCGTCTAGTCGGGTGCTGCCTGCATACGGATGTGCCCATGCTGGTTCTGGAGCTCATCCCCAAGGGTAGCCTCTACGAAAAGCTCCATGGCGATGGTCGGCATACGCATCTCCCGCTACCAACTCGCCTCGACATCGCCGTTGGCTGCGCCGAAGCTTTAGCATGCATGCACTCTAACATTGGCCACAAAAGCGTCGTCCATGGGGACGTCAAGTCCGGCAATATTCTTCTTGGCAACAATCTAGAGCCCAAGGTCTCTGACTTTGGATCGTCCAAGCTCATGTCAGTCGCCAAGTCTGATAACTGGTCCGTGATGGCTGACATGAGCTACATCGATCCTGCCTACATCAAGACAGGCCGTTTCACGGAGAAGAGCGACGTGTACAGTTTTGGAGTGGTGCTCCTGGAACTCATCACCCGGAAGAAAGCCTTGGACGACGACAGAGAAAGCCTCCCGTTAAACTTTGCCAAGTATTACAAGGACGACTACGCGAGAAGGAACATGTACGACCAGAACATGTTGTCATCAACCGATGATGCTCTGCGGCCTCGCTACATGGAATGCCTCGACAGGATGGCCAACATTGCGATTCGGTGCCTTATGGAGGATATTGACGAGAGGCCGACCATGGCGGAGGCGCTGGAGGAGCTCAAGCAGTTGAGTGCAAGCCTGAACGTGACCTAGCTTGATAACCACAACGACGACGATGGTCAACGAACGCATGTAGAATTAAAGCTTTCGATCGATATATCGTTTGTTTCGTCAATGATCATTTCGTTTTACCTCGTCATTAGTTTCTCCTCAATCTCTCAACAGATATGAAGTATACTTTGGTTTGGTTAAGGCTATCAGTAGGTAAGATTATTACGTTACATATTTTCTATATGCGCTTGTGGTGTGATCTACATATATAATGTTGTACCTTTCGCGCTGTAAGCTACTATTACTTTGAACAATTCGGTTGTGATATCATGAATATATGTAATGCAACATGATTTAAGGTTTCGAGGTGCGTGCATGCTGCAGTACTCCTGAAATATATGAGATTAAATTAATTATAGCTGTTGATCTTGCGTACAAATTTAGGTCCATGCCAACAGAATTTTGGTCTTACACTCTTTATCAATGTATACATTTACTACGTACGTACTTCTCTTGCAACAATAATTCTAGAGATTTGCTCCAATTCAATAAAAAGTACTTCGAGATACCAGCACTTCACGATACAAAATTATTTTCGATCATTGGATTTAGCAATGCCCATCTTGTCCAGCTAGATCCAACGACCGAAAATGATTTGGTACCATAAGATACAGGTATCTTGAAGTACTTTTTACTGAACGGGAGAAAATATCATAATTTTAACTATAGTGATAGCTCATGCAACAGCTCCTGGACCTGACTTGGGCCGCCCGGGGGTAATGGACAACAGATTTGGGCCAACGGGCCGAAATCTTCTGGCCCAGGAAGGAGGAGCCTCGAACATGCATATGAGTGCAAAGTAAATTAATTAACATCTCAATCAACAGGACGCATTTAATTCTGGGCTGGTTTGGTTTATGATCTAAATTAGCCTTACTAATTTTTGTTAATGCCAAATTTTAGTATGTTTTGGCATGGCTAATTTTGGCAAGGCAAATGTTTGTTTGGATTGAAACCAAAATAGCTTAAGTTAACTATTGAAATAGCATACTTTTTTAGGCATGCCAAAATTTAGCTTCAAACTAAATAGACACTAAATACTATTAAAATTGCCAAATATTGGTAAGACCAATTTAGGCCTCAACTAAACCAGTTCTTTGTCAACTTATTAGTACTCCCTCCATTCCAAATTGATCTACATATAGTTTTTTTAGGTTATTCCTAAGTGATCTACATTCATTAGGTCTATTCGTTATTTGTGCATTGGAGTAAATGGACATTGGTGCATGCATCCATGCACACAAGTATTTACAACCCACATGCAATATCTTGATTTGCTATTGACTAGGAAATAGTGGGGATGGTGCATGCATTGAGTTTGTTGATATAGTAAATATAGTATGAGAGAGTTATTAGTTTTTCTTGGTCTTGGTGTACCTATAAAATATGTAGATCAATTTGGAACGAAGGGAGTATTATATATATTGATGTCATTAGCCACGATAGAGATGCTCTGCGTGCTTCAGATTTAGACATTTAGTAACTACTTCCACACCATCTACTAGCTTTGTCCCCCAAAGATCAAAGACAGCCAAATCTTGGGAGTACAGTATTCGAAGATCTGAGATGTCCTATATGAATTAGGAATAGGTTGTTTTCAAAAATAAATTACAAATAGGTCTTCGACGCTAATAATATTAGCATCGATCCTCTTCGTATAAGTGACTTAGCTTTCTTGGGGAGGCTAAGGGGACGACTTTAATATCATTGGCACGGTCATACTGGATCACCTGATGCATGCATGCCATGTCTTGTGGCCTCAATCGGGCACCCGATCGAAAGTATTTTTCTAATTAATCAAGATCACGTTGAGAGGCTAGAGAGTTCACAACCCCAGCTTTATTACCGATTGTAGCAATCGAGGCCAGTAAATCGAGACTAAAGATCTCGATCTTTAGTATCGGTTAAAGAACCGGTAATAAAGATACATACTAAATAAAAAATATGTGGGATGTGGGATTCAAGCTCAAGATTTCTCACCTCAGCCCTCACGTGTGTTACCATCCCACTTATTACACACATCTAACTTGGATAGAGATGCTTTCTTTTTAACTAACCCAAGAGGCATTATAGTACCGGTTGGTAACACCAATCCGGACTTAAAATCTTCTAGCTTTAGTCTTGTTTGGTGCTACCAGCCAATACCGGTTGATAACACCAACCGGAACGAAAGATGTTTCTAGGGATTTGGACTTTTACAATCGGTACTAAGGCTTTAGTACCGGCCGTTTTTAATCTAGTTGAGATATTTGTATTTTGGGGACTACAATAAAAGATCGTTTCTCTAGCAGTGGTAACATCTAACTTGAACATCTGATATGAGACAAATTGAGGTTATTCCTGTGGCTTAGTACTTCTACATAGGTGTTAACTTAATTAAGGACACAAATCTCCTTTGATTTATGTAATACTCACTCTGTTTCATATTATAAGTCGTTTGACTTTTTCCTCTGTAAAAATTCTTTAGGTTTGCTCAAATTTATAGAAAAAATTAGCAACATATATGACACTAAATTAGTTTTATTAAATTTAACATTGAATATATTTTGATATAATGTTTGTTTTATATTTAAAATATTACTATATTTTACTACAAACTTGATCAAACTTAAAAAAGCTTCACTAATAAAAAGTCAAATGACTTATAATATAAAAAGGAGGGAGTAAGTTCTTATATCAACACTCTTAGTTTTCAGCCTTTCACAAGTTGCATGCATGACATCCAACTAATCATTTTGTAGTCAAAACCTTAATTTCCTTTGTATGACTTATATAAGAAAATCCCACGTACAGTAAAAACATCCTTCTCTCTCGCACTGATTCCCCCTTCACAACCGCGCGAAGGTAGCAGGTATTTTCTTTTTTTCCTTTTTTTTTTCCGAAGTGATGATATCTGAATCTTGATTGCTTCTCCTCTGTGGAATTTTGCTATGATGATTCTCTAATGATGCTATACCTGAAAATAAAATTCTTGCAAGTTTAACCGACTGCACTGTCAGGTCTTGACCAATCAAATTATTTTTACTTACTTCTACATGACCATTACTTGCAAATTTGCAAGGTTTCTGTACATGTTACCTGTAATATAGAAAAAGAAAGCAATGAAATTGGAGAAACGGTTCAGGATGCTGCATAGTGAACCTGTAGTGATCGATTGCCCTTGCCTATGTACACAAAAGATTTGTTTGTGCACAACACGATTCGTTTGCCATCTGGCGTACTGTGAAATGATCTCCTGACATATCAGAAAAAAAACATGTGTTCTTTTAATGGCCACTGTCTGCTCTTCTTTCCTGAAGTTTTGTACTAGTTGAATGATTGTGATTGATGTGCTCCGCTAACAGAGTTGGATGGTTGTGATTTCTTCATCTGATAGAGTTTCTGGGTTCCCTTGTGTTATTAGCTGCAGTGGGACCCTGTATCTAGCACCAGATCTTTCTCTGCCCTGTCCCAGATATAGCACTTCTGCACCAAAAAATGCAGTTGATGAAAGTTTTTCCCAACAACTACAGAAACCTGATATTTTAGGGGGGCATCTGTATTTAAAAAAATTATGCAAATGTAATGTTTTCTCTTTTCTCAGTTCACTCGGATGTACCCAAAGAAGGACCTCTTTGTCCTCTCTTTTCTTTGGAAGTAGAGAAGTTATATGGAAACTGCACAAATGAACAGGTTGTATGTGCATCACCAGCCAAACAACAAACTTACAAAGACTAAGGTCGTCTTTCACCCCCTTCGGAATGGGAAGAAAGTCACATGACTCAAAATTTATTTTCAGTAAGTGCATGCCTGCCTGCCTGCAATAGTTTTATTCGAAGTAAAAGCCTGCAATAAATTTAACCATTATATATGTGGAATGGGGTATGAGTTCACCAATTGCCAACTTGGATTTGCATATATAACACGTCGTATCGTTAGTGCTTTATGCACCAAAAGTCTCCCTTTTTTCCCCTTTGGAATGGGAACAGTAGAGTTGATAAGGATCACTGTTGTTTGCCTCAGGTTGACTGATAGTCAAGGTTTTCCAATATACCAATACAAGCAATCATTTCATTATCAAGCATCATCGAGTTGCTTGTTGTGCTTTCCCTGCACTTGCTCACGGAGTCACACAATGTTGACCAATAGTCAATGTCTTGGACTTGGACGTTGAATGACCCGGTTTCTGGCAACGCACGGTGGAAAGGACAAAGGAGAGTTAAATAACCCTGTATTGTCTCCAATGCATCACACTCACACACACCCAGACATGGCGCTCGGCTTAGGAGCGTTTGTAGAAAGTTTAATGGATTTTTAGTATATAATAATAATACATAGATAATAGATAGATAGATAGATTGGAACACACGTGTTGTATATATAATTAGCTAGGATTATGATCCTATTAAAAGATACTCCATAATGAAGTTCCTAGCTAGTGCAGTCAACTAGGAGGATTAAATTAATGTAGATATAATTAAGCTGAGTCACCCGGCCAATCATTAATCAAAAGTGGAGTATTATATTTATACAAAGACATGCATGGTCACTAATCTCCCACGCTCCTAGCTACCACGTACAAGCAAGCAAGAAAGAAGTGATGATATCTGAATCTTGATTGCTTCTCCTCTGTGGAATTTTGCTATGATGATTCTTTAATGATGCGATGAGAGGAGTAGGTAGAGGGGGAGAGGGAGTGGGAGGATTGAGTGGGTAGTGGGAGAAAAAAATGGAGTGGGGAGAAAAGAGGGAGAGATGCCAGTGTGGGAGAGAGAAACTCGCAAGTAGCTAATTTCGCATGTGGGTCACTTAATAGGCCCATGAACCGATCACAGGGAGGCGATTTTTGCAGAGTACAGTAGTTATAGCCTTCTTGCAATCTAAAGGAGAGTTTGGTCAGAAAAATTAATTATGTAGTAGTGATGCATACTTTTTATGTTTTTTATCCAAGGAGTAAAATAATAGACCATCGATTTAAATAGAGATTGTTGTTTCAGAATTTATAGGTTTTTTCTCTAATTTATGTTTTGGACAGTGATTTTTCATCGATTTTGATTCAGACTCATCTGAAACATCATCATCCAACCCAAGAAATTTCAGGAGTTCCAGATGCCGATCCAAAAATCGAGCACATCTGCCGCCGTTTCCCAATTCACATAGGTATGGTCGAACTATTCTACTGTGTGATCTCCTTAGTGATCTATTTAAGATTTTCTCGATCTTTTAAATGATTTGTCTGGACTTTTAAGTGATGAATTACTGGGGGATCATTTCTCTATTTAATGAACTGTTCGGTGTCCGTTGAATGTACATGTTTCAACGTCCTAGCTATTTAAGAAATTACCGATTACTGATTTTGACTGAAATAATGAAA